ACTCCACTCAGCTGAGGGCCTCGGGCACAGCAGATCGAAAGTTCAACGCAAGATCGAGCGCGCATATGTAAATATCGGCACATTTACAAGCGAAAGGGTTCACCAAAGCGTCGCACTAACGCATCGTTGTGCGGGAACCAGTCCAGTGAGATTCCTACAGTTTCCGAATGAAAAATGTCGAACGAACTCCGGGTTCATCACTCGACACGGGTGTGTGGTGCGCGACACGGTCGCCGCTCGACTGCCGCCCTCCTCTCACTACCATACTGTTGGCTGGTATATTTATCGCTTAATTATTGGACTCGTCTGTGTAACAATTATGAGGCAGGTCGTCGTGTGGCAGGCGCTGGCGGATGGCGCGCGGCGCTATCAAGTCTGCGGTCATGGGTTGCGTCACAGCGCAGCACCGCGTAGCATCCGCATCGTACGCGCAACCTTCCAAGATTTTATCTTAAACCTACACAAAATCATTGGCCCGTATGCTCTGTATGACTGATGCATGTATGATATAAATATGTTATAAACCAAGTCCGCAAATATAGTTTCAACAAAAACATCTGCTTACTCATAGGTACATATGTATTTTTATTGTTTTACAGCCATAATACATAATTATTTATCTCGATATTATTAGTACATGGCTCAAGTAACCGTTTTTAAGACTCCTATCAAATATATTATAATAAAATTGATTTCTTGAAAGAGCCGGAATTGATCACTTTCCAACAGTTCGCATGTTTGTCATAGAGGCAATAAAATTTCATATTTGTTACGGCATCCATACATACATTATAAACGTAACTGTCAGTATTGGTAAGAAGGTAGGCCACCGAGGTCTCTACCTACTAGCTCCTAATTTCCCATCACTTGACCGTGTTGCTTACCCCATAAGTTCCCGTTCTAATTGATATTTCGAATATTGGCCGTAGTCGTCTTGTAGAACCGCTCGAGTCGATGTCATACTATGACCTCTTTCTGCTAGTGAGCATTACTTTCGATTTGAAGACTGAATTAGTGATAATTCCATTACAATTAGGTCTCTAATCTCATTGCGGAATTTGGACGGCACCATCGTTTTCTGGAAGCTCTTATAACTGGTTACTTGAATGCACCGTGAACTCGAACACTCATCAACACTAATAAAAATTATTATCGACTAAATTTGTTTATGAATTGTACCCACATGCTGAAGACAAAAATAAAAAACATGTGGTAGAGCTACTCGCTACTCGAGTCCTGCCTCGAACACACCAAAAGATCATAATTTGAAATTTTATTTTACTTCTATCGCTGTTGCGTTCTGCCAGCACGTAATGGAACACGAATAACACAAAGGCCAACTGCTTTCGGTTTGAATTGAAACTAGTTTATACGCACTTATGATAACTGAAGACACTTTTTGTTATAATTGTACGATCCACACTTATAGGATTGCGTTGACAGAAGAGAGCAGTGTGTAATTAATAATTATTTCGGTACCATCCCTTACACACGGTACTTATATATTCTATTCTATCAATCCATAGACATCCACTAATGGATATAGGCCTCCCCCAAGCCTCGCCACAAAGATCGGTCCTGCGCTGCCTGCATCCATGAAGACGTACGGTGGGTAGGTTCCCACAAGATGAACTGACAACTATTGAGGTTCGATTGGATCCGCTGGTGGCAATTACTGTACTTATAACTTTAGAATAGTAATAGTTAAGAGAGATCTTTATAGAGTCATATGTCTGGCAGTAGATTTTCATGAACTAATGATGACGATTAGATAAGATTATTGCAGAGTAGAACACCGAGCTCGATAGCTGCAATTGGAGTTGGATATAACCATCAGTAAACGAATGTAGGCAAGTCAAAAAGTGTGATATTTATTATATAATGCTACACAATACACGTGCTAGAATACCAAATTAGTGTGTGTCAACTAAAAAATTAAGGCATGTTTTAACCTTAATCTTTATACGACCTACGCTTCAATAGGACGCATGAGACAAATTAGAGGTCACTACGCGTTACATGCATATGCATGTTTATCGAGCACAGGATAAATACGAAGTCAAGAAATCAAAGTAGGTAAATTAAGTGGCAGGCACAAGGCACTATATTGAATTTTATTTGGAAACAAAAACAAAATGTTGATGTTATTAGAGTCTAGTAAACTATTTCGCCGTATCATCACGTCCCCGTGTTTTCAAATTGAAATACGTATTTATTTTGTAAAATATTATTTGTTATGATAAATTTATTTTTAAAACTTAGAAAGGACCGCGTCTATGGAACAAATATCAAAAGCTCGTGAAAGGATTGTACTGAAAAATAATAATTTGTCAGGCTATTATTCAGAAGGCGCAATATCCAATGTAACTATACCTTGTCTAGCTAATGCTACCACTTTAGTTCAGTTCGATAGGTGCCAAACGAAGCGTGAGAATTGAATTGTGTACAATTCAAACGGTCCTCCTCTATATGGAATCAAATGGAAGTAGCTAGTATTTGGGAGCCTCAGTCCGGAGATGGGAACAGTGCCCTACGCAAAGCCGGGCTTGTGCTTTATACAGCAAAAGTCTTTACTCGGAGGTCAAGTACCCACTGAGTTTCTCGCCGGATCTTCTCAGTGGGTCTCGTTTCCGATTCTGGTGGTAGATTCTACAAAGCACGGCTCTTACTAGGGCTCGTGTTAGCAACGTCGTCAGGTTTGAGCCCCATGAGCTCACCTACTAGTTAAGGTAAGGCTGCAATAGCCTCTCAAGGCACTCAGTTAGGTAGAAAAAAAAGAAGGTCAAGCACCATTTCTCTCTGTTGAAAACTCCAAAAATTTTAAAAGTCGATTCACCGTATTCGGAAACCTGCCCTATAGAGTTCTTTGTTTCAGACACAAGTTTCGATTATCTAACCTGAATTTGTTTGTACCCGCATCGCAATAGAATAAAAGCTAGCACAATGAATTGGCACGCTAAACTCTTTCTATCATCGCCTCCTTCACAAGCACTCCTTGGATCGCTCAAGACGTTGATTAGCTTTAAGATGTAAGGAAACGCAATTACTCGACCCCAGACAACTCTCCAAGGTGAGATTTATATGCGTAGAATCTGAAACTAAGATACATATGATCTAGATGCTCGAAAAATCGCATCGGGGCGCAGACTTTATGTGCCCACCGCTCAATGCAGAAGTGACTACATCAATAGTCACCTTTCCAACACATTAGTCACTGTTAGTATTTTTGATTTATGTCAGAATATACTTTATTGCCTTTTACGATTTAGGAACGCTTTCACCATGTAGGTATGATAAAAATATTTTGTATTGTAGAATCATTGAAGTTAATAGAAACCTTTCAAGTTTCTCCTGTAACGTTCTGTACACGAGTAATTAGGCAAATAACTCGTAATGTCGTAAATCCCAAAATTTATGATGCACAATTTTTTTATCTTTCACCGTGGAAGTCGTTCGTTGAATACATTATATACCTTTATTTACATGATTATCTTTATATATATTTATGTAACAACCTTTTATATATATTTATTTATTTATTTATTTTTCGAATGTACTCGAAACGCTTTGAAGCGCCAGACCTGGAAGCGTATTGCCTGGAGGGCCGTCGTCGGGAGTATGGGCGACCTAACCGGTCCTACTGCACATACAGCGCCAGCGCAACCACGACCACTCTGACAAGAGTGTCCGACTGAGAAGAACATTTATTTTTCATCTTCGAGATTTGAACACTGGCGTATAGGTTTCATACTTTAGTGGTATAACCGCATCGCTTAATTCGTATACATCAACTGTCATTACCACGATAAGTAAAATAGCTATGTTCACGACATTTTTGAATTGTTTATGCTGTTCAGAAAATTTTGACGGCAATGAGAAGAGTTCTGTCATGTGCTTTTTGTTTTATAGTTATAAACGTGTAAAATGGTGACTGCTTAAAAACTATTCAGCATTTGTAGGAGTGCGTAAGCATGGAAAGCACTACATAAAATAACGAATGTGGCATGCAAAGCTCTTGCAGCTATCTTTCGTCCTTCAAGAGAGAAAAGTGTCTACTACAATGCTCGAAATACGTAACAGTTTTGTGGAATCCGATTTTTATGTTAAAATTGTAGCACATATCTCTTTAAGCTGTAGAACTGCTATTACGACTGGCTAGATGTAATCGATAAATTTTGCACCAACAACGTAAGGTACCGAAACAGATACCTATGCCATTATTCCAGGTTCGAATTTCGAAAAAGTTTAAAGAAATAAAACGGCTTAAACGTAATAGGCAAAAATTAACATACCTGTTTCAAATTATTATTATATGTATATAATTATTACTGCTATATTAAAATAAATAATATAATAGTAATAACCAAGCCAATTTAAAATTACATTTGTAAACTGTATGTTGTGGTCTTGCGAAAATGAAAATTGTCGTGTTTTAATTTTAGTGTAGCCTCTGTTGAAAATCCTATTGAAATATATAATACATAGAAATACATGGATCAACATTTAAAAAATATTTAAAGAGGAAATTAAATCTTTATTTTTACCTTTATCTTTTTGTTCCGAACCGCAGTAATAAGTTTAGTTGCAGAACTGTCATTTATATTTTTATAATTTTAATTTTGTTTCAAAAGTTGTCATTATGAATAAACTGTCAGCCACGAAATTTGCATCATAATTTTTTATTTTTTGTAAAATCTTCCTCCTCACAAACCCAAAGTATATCTAAATAAGAAACCGTCCGCTACACTTTTTTTATTTTTAATCTTTAATCCACTACTTTAATGTAATGCATTTCAAACAGCTCCAATCATATTAGATTATGCATAAAAGAGATGCCTTCCGCCATTGAATTTTAATTGGACCTCTTTCACTTCAAAATTCAAACTTCACTATTACAATGTATGGGCTTGTTCCCTTTGCTGATCCAGTTTAATAAAGAAAATGTGAAGTCCATGACAGCTGACGTTAAATTAATAAATTAGTTTTGATTGACCAAATATTGTGACGGTTCAATACATAATTCAATATGATTCTCATAAGTTAATTTAGTGTTCCAATTTTATACCACAAAAGTATTTATTTTAAAATTCGTGGCCAAGACTTGTTTTCGACACTACAAAATGTATTGTAGACTAAATATAAGGTAATTAGGTATATTTATTACTCTGAAACGTTACATACTGCCTATTTGATGCAACTACATATTTTTATCCGATCTTTCAGATGTATTTGCGCAAATGGAGTAACCAGCAGATTTCTCAGTACAGCAGAAATCTCTACAGCACTTCGACCATTTTACTTCAGTGTACATCCAGATCTTTTTGGAAAATATCCAGAACAAAGGGTACCTGTTATTAAATGTTATATTTTTATTTCTATGAATGAAAAAGAGGACTTATAATATTTAAATATGGGCAAAATGGATAATGATTACAATTATATAATTTTAAAAATTTTAAAGATGAAGAAATTTTTTTAAAGTAAATTTAACAAAATGTTATTAATTACCTGCAGAAAATAAACGAACAGTCACTGCAACAGCTGAGTGCTTTTTTAGAAGCTCAACAATCTAGAAGGAGAATGGTTGTACCGCCTTTGCCATTCTATTTGAGACAAAAAAACACAGCAGAAGGTAAAATACATTGTTATTTAAAATTAGGCAATGCAACTTAACACACTTCTCAGAAGTGAAAATTACTAGACTCAGAAAGGAGAGAATTTTTTTATCTTCTCAGTTACAGAAATATTGTCCAAATTATTTCACTGTGACTATATTCTGTTTGATTAAAATGTTTTTCAACAGGTGAATTTAAATTAGTACAAATCCAATTAAATGGCAGCGATACAAGGGACACAGTTGTTAAAGTACTGAACGCATGTAATATATCAACAAGCTATGTGGACAAGATACCTCAAGCTCCTCTAAAAGAAGATTCATTTAGGTAACAATTTTAATGTGATACAAATGTTTTTTTCTTTTATTTATGTATGGCAATAGTGATGTGAACTTGATTTTTGAACTATTTAAAAATTTCTTATTGCAGCAAACCTGATTTCATAAAGGCATACCAACGCTATAGTACAGAATTTGAAAATGCAACTGAAATAAAAAAGAAAGTAGAAGAAAAGAAAGCAATCGACAATATTGTGTAATTTTTTGTTATTTTTTATGACATTTTTTACATAAAATAGTAAATATGCAAACATATTCTTCACAATGTGGTCTAAACATGCTTCAAATTTAGGATCTATGAAGATTTCAGGGCCCTCTTTATTTGTATGAGTAAATCAACACCATCATATTCATACAAAATATTTGTTGTGTTATGACACTGGTAGTTACCGTTTTATATTTTAACCACAACTGTGCACTCCAGATTGCAGGACGGCAAAGCTGTTTTTTTTTATTTATTGCTTAGTTGGATGGACGAGCTCACAGCCCACCTGGTGTCAAGTGGTTACTGGAGCTCATAGACATCTACGACGTAAATGCGCCACCCACCTCGAGATATAAGTTCTAAGGTCTCAAGTAAAGTTACGACGGCTGCCCCGCCCTTCAAACCGAAACGCATTACTGCTTCACGGCAGAAATAGGCAGGGTGGTGGTACCTACCCGTGCGGACTCACAAGAGGTCCGACCACCAGTAAATTAAAACTAGGACCTTATGTCTTGTGGTGGTGGCATTTATTATTCAAATCCATAGGTTCTAATAACCACTGGCTTGTGACTTGACTGTGTACCTATTATTGCTGACATAAGAAGTTATTACAGTAATCCTCCTTATAACACGGTCCTCTAATAATACATTTTCATATTATGCAATTTCAGTCTCTCATATAACACAGGGATTTTACACATTATACATATTTCTGTACTGTGAAATTTATATTTATTTGTACAGTTCATAATTATGTTCACATACCTTTGTACATTATGTCAATTTTGTTGTCCTAAAATTAAATTAAATTAATTTATTAAAATTGTGTTCCTAGTTTTTTAATTGTAAAAATATTTGTTATATTCTATTGTATTGGTATAAGTATTATATTTGTACATAATGCATTATATGGGGTCATACAAGCGCGATACTTCTACAACGCATTTCATATAATGCAAAACCAATCTACCGTCTTATAGGAGGTATTACTGTATATGCAATCAAGTGAATAATGTGAAATGAAATAATTAACATAAATAAAAAATAGTTGAATGGTTAACATATTTTTTATATATTAGAGACTGGGTGTACGAGAACAGTGCTGTGGCCCGTGAAAAATATGAGCTGATGAGCGCAACAAGAGACCAAGTGAAGAGCCTGATTGATCACCTATGCAAAACTTACGGTATTAAAGAAGTTGGTAAACACTAAGTAACAAAATTTGCAAATGCGCGACATCTTAATAAACTGGTAGATCATTAATAGAGATTTACCTCTGCTTCATAAACGAAATACAACAAGCATAACAGTAAGAAATCTTTACCATTAGAATTTAAGCACATTGTCCATGTAAAATTAGGTATTTTATGTGATTCACTCTTATGTTTACTTCAAAATTAAATTTTCTTTTCGAAGGTGAAATATGATAATGGCTGGAATATCAGTCATATCAGAGGAGCTTTGCAGAGTCTAGTTTCACTTGCTACGCAACATTCCAATATTATGGATAATTTACAAGGTAAGTCTATTTTTCAAGTTCGTTAATTAAGTTGAGTGTTGAACAGTAATCATTTTGAAAATTAATAACAATAATTACTGTTTTTACTGCAGGCAGAACAATTGCACTGGGTCAATTCACCGGAGTGAGCTTGGATGGAGATGTATATCTTAACATTATAGATGTCAGAAACGAGTGGTTATCAGTAAGTTATTTGTTTCTTATCAATTGACGTCAGAGAAGTAATGTTATGTGAACGCATCTGCGTTTTTGTTGTTTATTATTGAAAGGTCTGTTTTATGACACGAACAAGACCTTTCTTTATACAGTATAAATACAATAAGTCAGTAATGCTGCTATTCTTTTATTGTTATTTATTCTTGCAAGCGACTATACCAGCCGTCCCCCTCAATATTAAAATATAAAAGTTGACCAACTCAGTTAACTTTAGACTGCTTCTGGAAAACTGCCCTGCTGTTCAACTTCAAGATACAAGACTCCTTCATAACGAGAGCGCACGATATCTCTATACTACATTTGGAACGAAGCTTGATATAGAAATACCATTTGAAAATTAAAAGACATAAAAAACACAAAATTGAATATACTCATTTATCTTGGACTAGCGACCCGCACTCGCTTCGCTTCTGAAACTGTAATTTTTTATTGATTTCTCTACTATTTAATGGATGTTATTATACATATAAACCTTCCTCTTCAGTCACTATCTATTAAAAAAAACCGCATCAAAATCCGTTGCGTAGTTTTAAAAATTTAAGCATACATAGGGATCTAGGGACAAAGAAAGCGACTTTGTTTTATACTATGTAGTGATTGAAATCTGTCTGTATATTTGGTATACAACTCGGGAGGAGAGCTTGTGACTCCAATATCCCAATAAAACAGCGAATGCAAAATTGAATATTGAGAAATTTATGAAATGTCCCATGGTTTCTCAATGTGGAAATACACCACCATCTAAGTGTCACTGCTGTAAAAGAGGAAATCCATAATACATCAGAGACATATCAGGGAAGAATGAGGGGGCATCCAAATGAATTGGCTGTGGAATAGAGAATACAAAACTATACTAAACAGTTAAAAGGAAGGGACATCGTATCATAAGTGCATATGACCTACTGAAGAGGAGATGTCCTCACTGGAGGACACAACCGAAATGCCACAATTAACAGGGCTAAATTATGTAATCATACAGACTAGGTACTCTAATCTATATTGCCCCTTGTGTAGCTCCTGCAGTTTCCATACAAACTGTTTTCAGTCAAATTGAACACAATAAAGTAATCTATTACTATTAGATTATATAATTTCATTCTGTTTTTCCAAATCCAAGATTTCGGTACAATTCTACTAGAATTTATTTTTTTGTGTGTAAGAATCTTTTTTGTGTTTAATTTTAGTCTGATTCTTGTGAATAACCAAGCAGTTAACAAATAACAATAAAAATTCCTCTGTTTTTCTTTTAGTTAATAAAGAAAGTAAGGCAAGAAGACAGCGCGCTGACTATGATACCTAGTTATGAGAAGGCTCTATCCAGTATCTTACGTGATATTCATATACGAAGAAGGTACATCTTTTGGTTATTCCATCTTTTAACATCGCACCGCTAGCCACCGGATAAGAATTCATTCATAGTACTTAGAACAACTGCGTACATTTAGTTTCCAGAAATCTCTTTTTCACGTTCCACCCGACTTTTTCCTTCTTCAAACGAGGTTTGAGGAGAATACTCAGCGGTAGGCAGCAACATGGCTGAGCCATTGGCTTTGCTAATGACCATGAGCCACGGGGATCAAACAACAATTAGATGGGACAAATGTTTTTGTGTCTAAAATAAAAATAACAATTTAAGTCAACGATCTGACAATCCTAATTCAAATTCCCGTCTCGTTTATTTAACTACAGCTATACTAATATATAAATCTACAGTTCAGTACTGAACATCCGTAAAAATACTCAACCATGCATCCGATTGACTTGAAACTTGATATCCATGTAGAAAATTCTCGCTGAAACTCGCGAAAACTCGCGAAAGTACATGTACTTAATGGATAGGCTAATATTTATATGAGTGTTGGACTCTCTAATAATAATGACAATAAATAATAATGTTAATTTTAAATGCCCAGCGAAGTGGGAGAGTACGGCTAGTTTATTTATAAACTCGTTTAATTTGCAGAAAATTCATGCCAAAGGTTTCGGCGGCGCTGTATTGTAGTCATCTGAGACAGCTAATAACGTCCATAGGCGATTTTTACGGACGAGGAAACAAATTTCCTCCGTCTGTACCGGAATCTCTTAGCAAATACGAAATCGTTGTTGAACCGTTAGTATGTCTGTCTATATATACAGCATGATGTTTTTTTTTTTTGGAACGAAGTTCCTTATGGTACGATGCGAAGGGGTACCGGAACCGGTAAAAAACGTCCGTAACGTAAGATTTTTATTAGTAATGCACAGTGTACGACTTAACTTTGTAATAACGTTGAAAATATAACATATTTTTATTATAGTTTTTTTATAAATCATTGTGAGTAAAATAAAGTTGATAACTTCGTAAAGTAGTTTTTTTATCAATAAAAAAATCATAATAAAAAATGTATATCCGAATAATTATTTTCATCATACCTCGAATAGAACTTAAAATTAATATTTTTATAATAAGGAACTTCGTTCCTATCCGGTGTCCCACGACACCACACATATTTTTTAAAATTTCTGTTTCACGAAATATTCCAAAAAAAAAAAACAAGTAAAATNTATTTTTTAAAATTTCTGTTTCACGAAATATTCCAAAAAAAAAAAACAAGTAAAATTTAATGTATACTTGTCGTTTCAGGGAGGCAGGCCCTCTGATGGTGTCACCGACTGGACAGTTCATCACTCCGTCGTCGTGTCCAGCTGACGAGCTAATAGCATACATAAATAATCATTTAGACGAAGCGACTTTACTTCTAACCGAATATAGCATGTAAGTTTCCTACAATTTGAACCACCATGATTGAATTTTTACTGGTGGAGGTCATACCTCTTGTGAGTCCGCGCAGGTAGGTACCACCACCTTGCCTATTTCTGCCGTGAAGCAGTAATGCGTTTCAGTTTGAAGGGTGGGGTAGCCGTTGTAACTATACTGAGACCTTAGAACTTATATCTCAAGGTGGGTGGCGCATTTACGTTGTAGATGTACCTATATGGGCTCCAGTAACCATTCAACACCAGCTGGGCTGTGAGCTCGTCCACCCATCTAAGCAATAAAGATAAAAAAATAAAAATGGAATCTAGTTGATCTAAATAATGCTAATACACTTTTTCCCTAATACCAACGTTTTCACGGCTACTTTTCACTAGTAGATTAATACTAGGCAGCTACAAGTACTAGTCTCGTCTGAACTTGCCTTATATATATTTGTTATTGCTTAGATTAATGGACGAGCTCACGGCCCACCTGGTGTTAAGTGGTTACGGAAGCCCATAGACATCTACAACGTAAATGCCGCCACCCACTTTGAGACATGAGTTGTAACGGGTCTCACTTACGGGTAATCAATTTTAAATCTTGATAAGGTTAGCTTATACGAGTTTCGCTTGAACTCTCTTGTAGTTTTCTTGTGTATTTTAGTTTAAAAAAGGGCTTAATTTTTCGTATCATCTATACTAATATTATCTACAGTGGTTTTTACAGATGTTCCGTTATAACTACTGAACCATGCATCCGATTGACTTGAAACTTGGTATCCACGTAGAAAATACATGTACTTAATGGATAGGCTAATATTTATATGAGTATTGGACTCCCTAATAATAATGACAATAAATAATAATGTTAATTTTAAATGCCCAGCGAAGCGGGCGAGTGCGGCTAGTAGAATATATAATATGTATTTATTTTATCGAACAAACAGAAAGTAATGTTAAAAAAAAAATATAGATACCTAAATATATATTTTTTTTGTTTGCAGAAATAAACACGTCGAGAAAGCATTACACAAAGAGGTAAAAGAAAGATTTGGACTACTAGAACTACACAAGGACGATAGTATAACTCCAGGACTAATGATTTCGTGTTGTCAACGTCTATTGACTAGAACGGATAAACTGAATGCGGTATGTTTCAGGTTTTTTGTACATTAACTTACGCTAGATGAATCATAAGATAGAAAACACATACGGCGCGGCGCCTTCAGACATAATCGAAATCTATATTTTATTGTACAACGGTTCTCGATGAACCGACCGGATTGCATGACTCTCTTGGGGAGGTAATGAATAGTAAAGACGGTGGTCAAGTCTACCCGCGCGAGCTCACAACACATAACCGCTGATAGCAATAAGCACGCTATATAACAATTAATTGTAATTCGTTAGATGAAAATTGCTGTTAAACTAACACAATATAAACAATTAAATAGCATTTATGTTACTCGGGTCATAACTAATCAACAGCTGTTGTCCTTATTTAATTTCCAACGAATATTCGTTCGCTTCATGAGTGGAGCACTTTATAATAGGAGTGGGTAATATCGGTTTTGCCGCGTATCGAATCGTATCTATATATCGAGGATCAATATCGGATATTGAATCTATATATTTTCTGAATCTATATATTGATGGATCCTACTGATGCTAGTAGATTTTCTCGATTCATGATATTTGAGATTTGAAACGATACGCTGATATAATATCGTAGTAGATATAGATTTAAGTCAACGTTACACGGTTGGTTTTCTGATATCAATTTATAATATGATCTTAAAGTAATAAAAAGAACATGAAAATAAAAATATCAAAAAAACTTTCCTTCATGCTTTTACCAGGCTTAGGACTGGCTACATTATTTTCAGTTTTTAGTATTTTGTGTCTTAATTTAAAATTACAAAATATACCAAAAGAGTGTAGATTTCAAAAGTTTAATACAAACACAAGAAATAAACTCAATTATTTGGATTCAACTAAAAATAGAAAAATGTGTACTTTAAAAATCAAACACAAAAAACTTTTAAGTATTTATAAACACTTGTCCAAAAATTCTAGTTCAAGGTCAAAGCGCGTGAAATTAAATTCAACGATGCAAATAGGCTATACTGCATTCAAGTTAGGGTCGAAAGTTGAAACTTCTTTCCTTAATTGTATCCTGCTGATACGCTAAGAATAATCTACAGACATATGGACTTAAATATAAGGTTTACAATTGTATGGATAATGCCTGTTTCTGTTTCATTCATCACATGATATCCCTATCGTGCGCTCACTCACTCTGGCCGATTCGATACGAACCAAACGAATATTGCTGATATTCACGAATCGGTACGATATGCCGATGCGCATCACATCGAGCAATATCGTGTATCGGCTGATATCGAAATATAGATTTCGATTCACGAATCGGTACGATATGGCGATGCGCATCACATCGAGCAATATCGTGTATCGGCTGATATCGATATATAGATTTCGTGCGGGGCGATATCGGATTCAACGATATTGCTGCGATATATAGATATTGAATCTATATACGATTTATATCACCCACTCCTACTTTATAACGGGTTGACGGCCAAACATAGACGCGTTTTAATATATAATTTGAAAAATTTATTCGTATTTAGTATTCGTAATTCGTTATTTTTGTTGATTAATTTCTTGCATGCCATATTTCGTAGTATTTCAGTTTAAGTTTTAACAAAATTTTTGTTTCAGAATCTACGAGGTAACATATTGTACGTAACACATTATTACTCTGTGTTAACTGAAGGCATTTTATGTATACCGTGGAATTTTAAATAATCGAATGTATATATAATTATTACATCAATATAATGATATCAATTTAATGTACGTAGTTTAAATGAATTAAATTTATTTTTAAGAAAACATATTCTCTGTTATTTTAGACATGAATTTGCGTACAAATAAGTACTTATAGTATAAATATAACTAGAGGTCCCGCAGTAGTCGAAATTTGACTATAATTAATTGGAATTGTAAGTTTGTACACTATTATGATTGTATTTTATACTTCTATAATCACAAATTTCGCCAAGACTACCCTATAAAAAATATTGACAAAGAGAAACAATATTTAATCTATTCTCAATTTGACAACAGACGTCAAGAACAAAAGTTTGACAATAAATAGTATGCATGCGTGTGTGCGTCAAATACATGGTATGTAGTGTGTGTAATGTTTTTTTTACTGATTTAATGTATCTTTTATGCATTATTTAAAAAAAATATTAGCATTGTGCACTTCTTCTATATATCTATACTAATATTATAAAGAGGAAAGATTTGTTTGTTTGTTTGTTTCGAATAGGCTCTGAAACTACTGGACCGATTTGAAAAATTCTTTTTCCATTGGAAGCCGACATTGTCCCTGATGAACATAGGCTACTTTTTTTATAATTTTTTTTTTTTTTTTTTTTCATGTGTGTTTTAATTTTTCCGAAGCGAAGCGAGGGCGGGTCGCTAGTTCTCTATAAATGTGGAAAATTTCATACTCCTCCGTCCGTGCAATTTTCGTAAAAAGGGATACAAAGTTTTTGCTTCACGTATTAATATATAGATTAGTTGAATCAGATAGAATGTAGACATTATTTGAAAAAAATGTTTACTAACCTTACGCGTGTCGCTGGTAATAACAGTAAGTTAAAAAATACTTATTATCGGTATGGGAAGAAAAAAATCCAACAAAACGTCTTTCCTAATCGAATTTATTTTGAATTACAATACGCCTTATTAACCTCGAAAACATCAAAATTGTTAATGTTAATTTTATTAAACAGTCTTACAATATGCATAAATATATTTACATGAGGCATAAAAATGAAAGTACATAATTACTTTATAATTGCATTGATTCTTTGTGCATCAATAGTTTTAAAATTAAAATAAGAATATACATGAAAATACAAAATAAAGTAACATTGAATACAAATAAAAACATAATTAAATGTCAGTGTTTCTTGCTTTGCTGTACAATAACAAGTTTGTTCTTCTCTTTCGTGACTTTTGCTACTGGTAAATTTGTTGCGGGCATCAACTGACGCAGGTTCTGACTAGGTATGATGGGAGGCTGAAAACAAATGTAATTATGTATTATTATTATTTTCACAATTATTTCATGTTTTTTTTTATTTTAAGTTTGTAGCGTGGAACATTGAAATATCGAGTCGCACTCGGGTATCATCGGGCGCGATCGGAATTCCCGAACGCGCAGCTGTCCCATGACGTCATCACAACAAGATTCGCGCGCCGATTTAAGTTCAATATCCGAGTGAAAATTTCCCGCGAATACGGAGAACAAATGACAAACCACAGTGGAGACTCCGACGTGATATGAACACGCAACCTTCTGATTTAAAATTAAGTTAATTTAGTTAAAAAGTTGGTTTAGTTAAAAGTTTAATTTTATGTAAGTTAGGTTTAAGTTTATAGTTAGGTTTTGACTGACAGGGTGGTGCCAAGGCAAATAGACGTGGGTTCGATTCCCACATTGGACAAAAATTTCCGGGATGAATAGGTTTGTTTGCTTTCTGTCTGATTGGTTGATATCTTTATTTGTATATATTTAAGAGTACATAGGTTGTCAGTAGTTGTCCCGTAGTACCAATAATCCTAGTATGGGGCCAGTGTTTTATTGAAATTACTCGTCCGCTCGATATAATTAACACTACATTGAACAACAAAGATTTCATATTTCTACACCTTGTATGGGATACGCTGGCAAAAAAAAAGACAGATGACATTATAAAACCGAGCAGCATTGTTCGCTCCCAAAGTAAACTGCAACGATTTTTTTTTAATTGCTTAGATGGGTAGACGAGCTCACAGTCCACCTAGTGTTAAGTGGTTACTGGAGCCCATAGACATCGACAACGTAAATGCGCCACCCACCTTGAAATAGAAGTTCTAAGGTCTCAGTATAGTTACAACGGCTGCCCCACCCTTCAAACCGAAACACGTTACTGCTTCACGGCAGAAATAGGCGGGGCGGTGGTACCTACTCGTGCGGACTCACAAGAGGTCCTACCACCAGTAAGAGTTATGAGTTTCGGTTTGAAGATTTTAGGATTACTTTAATTGGGACTTTGACCTGATTGACGAGTTCATAGTAGACGTCATTAGCATCTCCTCCGCTTCATCGCTCCAGTGGCATTTTAGTTTTAGCTAATAAAAGAACTGAAGAACGGTTCACGAGTGAAAAAGGCTTGGAAACCCAGCATTTGGTGCTGTTCTATACATACCGGATTGCATCTTGCAAGCTGTTTCATTCGGTCAACCAGGCGCATGGCATCATCTGATGTTTCCGAATCTGTTGTCATGCCGAGAGACAGGGCCCTCTCTGGGTTTCCTCCGTCCAAACATCGATGAAACGATTGAAAATGTCTAGAGGACAATTTAACATAAGCATTACAGCTGTTTACATTCATAACCGACGCATAAGTCACAAAAAAACTTATATAGTAAATATTCAGTATAGCAAGTGTTGAAAGAAAATAATAGTTTAAAAAAAACGCTTTTGTAGCTAGCTTATCTAAAAAGAAAAAAAATAGATTTCTTTATGTAAACATTTTTTTATTACAAAAACGCGTTCAATTTCCTAAGTAATGTGTCAACATCATATTTTTCAATAACATATCCTATTTCGCCCTATTTCTTACAGTAAGGAATGGAGGATGGTCGCGTTATGAATGAAATAATGAAGTTCTTGGGCCCACTTCTGTCTCGAAGGAACGTCGTTTCTAAGTCCTAAGGGCAGGTTTGTCGTTATTGCAACACAACTGACACATTCATGTTTTAATGTCTCTATCTGACTCTGATCGTGATTCTTTTGTAAAAAAGAAATTCATTTATCATAACTAAATTACAAATCAATTTTCAAAACTACTAAAGTACGTGAAATTTCTGGTAATTAAAATCTATACATATAAATAAAGTTGGAGTGTCTGTTTGTAATATTGAAATAACCGCTTTTTACTACATGCATATGAACATATATATATACACCAAATAACATTTTTTACAATTTTTGTCGGTCTGTCTGTTTGTTCCGGCTAATCTCTGGAACGGCTGGACCAATTTTGACGGGACTTTTACTGACAGGTAGCTGATGATATAAGGAGTAACTTAGGCTACTTTTTTTAGACTAGCTTCGCCCCACGGCGTCACCCGCGGTACAACAATAACCGCGGGTAACGTCGCGGGACTCAACTATCAATAATAAAATTTTATGTTTTCGAAGCGAAGCGAGGGCGGGTCGCTAGTCGTAAATAAATGTGTAGCTAATAAAAATAACCTAAGTTGTGCAAATCATTACCTCGTGTGAGCATGTGATCGAACCCGTTGGGCGTGTCTCCAAGCCGCAGCAGCTCGGGCTCGCCAAATAGTAGCCTCTTCACTGGCAGCCGCTACACCGGCTTCTAAGGCAGCGCATGCGCCACGTAAATCCACTACCTTAATAACCATTGAAGTTCAATTAAACGTATTAAATAGCGATCTGCCAGAAAACATACCAAATAAGAGAAACAAATTAACTATTATTACATATAACACATATAAGTAAATCTCTAACGAGAATCAAAACGATCAAGATAATAAAACACAAGATTAAGAAAAGAAAAAAACCATTTAAGTTAAAATTCGAATCCATCAAATGCCCTTCCAAAATAGTTTGATTGTGACTCGAGATAGTATCTTTTTGGATACATGTTTCAAATTAAACAGAGCTTCATCATTCATAAAACCTAATTATTAGTTTTGTTATGAAGATTAGATTCCACTGGCATAATTTATTGAGGTGATCAAAAGCACAACGAAGTGTTCCAGAGGACTCATGAAATTAGGAATGAAAGTAGGAACGCAATGGAGAAAATTGCTTCTACATTCTTTCTTTACATTGAGTATAACATGAGAAAATCTTCGTAATAAGGTGACACTCTACAATACATGCATACGCCCCGTCATGACCTATGCAAGTGTATTATTCGCTTACGCGGCTCGCACCAAGTTGAAACCCTTTCAAGTCATTCAATTCCGTTTTGGCAGGATAGCCGTCGAAGCACCATGGCTCCTAAAGAACCTGGATTTCAATTATGACCTGAAGCTTGACTTAGTCAGTACTTACTGACTGAGTTCAGCTTTACAGTCGGCATCATTGCGCCACTTTGAGAAGGCGGCACGACATGAAAACCCTCTTGTCGTGGCCGCCAGTAATTACATACCCGATCCGGTGGACCGAATGGTAAACAGTCGAACTCGCCCTAAACACGTCATTACGGATCCTCCAGATCCATTAACGGTGTTTTTAGGTACCTCAAGCACCGGTCACCGTCCTCGCCGAACCCGTCGCTTGAGACAAAGGGTTCGACGAGTAAATTAAGCCATAGACACAGCCCACTGAGTTTCTCGCCGGACTTTCTCAGTGGGTCGCGTTTCCGATCCGGTGGTAGATTCTGCAAAGCACTGCTCTTGCTATCGCCATTGTTAGCAACACTCTCGGCTTGAGCCCTGTGAGCTCACCTACTAGCTCGGTGAATCCAGAATAATCCCTCGAGGTTACTAGAATAGATAGGTAAAAAAAGAAAATGCTGTACCTTTTGAAAATATCTATATAACAATGTCTTAATTTCATCATGTGAAAGTTTATCCAGTCTAGCCATCAACATCTGTTCTCCTCTACTTCTTGAGTCCTTGTTGTCGAATGAATCAGACAAAGATGCAGATGGTGATTTGCCACATATTAAATTGTTCTTGTACTCAATTGCTGTGTCTATTGCTTCTATAGCTTCTTCACATTCGAGTAATTTGCGTTCCTATACAACATCAACCACAACATTTTATAC